CACGCACTACCACACCCAGCTAATTTTATATTTTTAGTAGAGACAGGATTTCACCATGTTGGCCAGGATGGTCTCAAACTCCTGACCTCATGATCCGCCCGCCTCGGCCTCTCAAAGTTCTGGGATTACAGGCGTGAGCCACCGTGCCTGGCCTGAAACATGGAGCCTCTGAGTATCCCCAAAATCATCTTCTTGATGGGCTTATGCTGATACCATTTGCAGTGAGTCTGACAGAGGCAGGAACAGGGTGGTGCACAGTGACACTGCCTCTCCTTCCCTGGGTTGAAGAGGGCCTCTGGAAGGGATTGAGGTTCAGGAGAGCTACAGCAACTTGAAGCCTCAGTTTTTGTTCCTCTCAACTGTAGGAGACTAGTTACCTAAAGATTATCTTTCTTCCTTCTCTCCAGATGGTGTCCTACTCTTCTGTCCTCACAGCCATCAGTAAGGTATGACCGTAGGCACTCAGGAGCTAGGTTGGGGATGACAGACAAGGCCCCACCTCCTTGACGGCCCTGATCCTGTGACCCATGAGGCTGGATAGGCAGCACATGATGCCTCTGGCTGGCATTGCTGGCCTTCCATGGGAGGGGGATCCTGGCAAGTAGCGGCTGGTGCTTGGGAGCCAATGTCCAGTGTTGAGGGTGCTGAGTCTTGGACCCAAGGTTGGAGGAGAGAGGAGCAGGAGTCCTGAACACACCATCTGCCTCATGTGAGACCTGGGGGTGGACAGGGGCATTCCGTAGCATCTCCACTGTCCTTTCCACAGTTTGATGACTTTTCTCGGGACCTGTGTGTCCAGGCATTGCTAGACATCATGGACATGTTTTGTGACCGTCTGAGGTAAGGGCAGGGGTAAGGGGGCTTACAACGTTCTAGCCTTGTCTTAGTGTAGAGGTGCAGCTCCTAGCACACAGACCGAGACCAACTCTGGGTTCCCATGTTTTTTCTCCCCACCTGCCATCCACAGTCACTCGTCCCCTCCTTTTCTTACTCCCTTAGGACAGAGTGCCTCCTCTCTGTCTGGAGTAGCTCATTTGAAATCTTGTCCAGTAGAAGCCAAAGCGGCTAAGCGTCTTCCCCAGGACTTTGCTAGCTTTGCAGCCCTAGTCCCTAATAAGGGAGTGCCAGGGACTCTGGGGAACATTGGTGTGGGTCGGATTTCAGCCATTAGAAGAACAGAGGCTAATTTTGCATCCTTCCCTGTAGCTGTCACGGCAAAGCCGAGGAGTGCATCGGACTGTGCCGAGCCCTTCTTAGCGCCCTCCACTGGCTGCTGCGCTGCACGGCAGCCTCTGCAGAGCGGCTCCGGGAGGGGCTGGAGGCTGGCACTCCAGCCGCTGGGGAGAAGCAGCTTGCCATGTGCCTTCAGCGCCTGGAGAAAACCCTCAGCAGCACCAAGAACCGGGCCCTGCTGCACATCGCCAAATTAGAGGAGGCCTGTATGTCCCTTGATTCCCCTGAGCCCCACCTGCCGCTGCTCCCATAGCCGGTCCTTTAATTGAGAAGGGAGAGGCAGGATGCCATCCCACCTCTTTCCAGGAGGATCTGAAACCATCCCACTTCCTTTTTTTTCTCCCCATAAGCATTGCACACATCCCAGGGACTTGGGCAGGGTGGCACCCGAGCCAATCAACCAACAGGTATTTACTGAGCATTGTGGTACGCCCAGCACTGTGCTAGGTGCTGCGGGCGGGGGGTGGGGGGCTACCAAAGGAGCATGTGGCAGGGTCCCTGCCCTCATCAAGCATAGCTGCTAGTGGGGAGCAAGACTAATACATCACAGACACGGAAAAAACTAGAGGACAAGACAAGCACAGTGTCCGTTACTGTGTTTGTCTCCATGTTACTCATCATCTGGAAGCAAATGACTCTTGTATTTGAATGTTACCTAAAATGCCCCTTTTAACACAGTGCCTGTCTGCTGTTGGGCCTGTTGTACCATATGCCTCTTGAATCAAGTTCAGATGTTAGGTGTTGGTACTTTCCAGAGCCTGAGAACAGACAGATCACCTGGCGGGAGGGAAGATGCCGGTATTTCCAGCAACGGGGTCCTAAGGCCATAGTCTTGCTCCTTGAAGCCCAAGTGGCTTGGGACCACCTACAGATCTCTTGTTCTCCAGGAACAAGAATGCTAGAATGGGCTACTCACGAGGCTTCAGGACCTGGTTGGAGAGCTTGTTTTAGGACTAGTATATTTATTTCTTCCCCAAGTATGTTTTACTGCCTGTGAAAAGTCCAAAAACATAATCTTTATATAAAAATGGACTGTGTTGACAGCCTCTTCCTTACCTTGGGCCCTTGATACATGTTTATTGGCTGAAAATCGGATGAATACTGAATTTTAATAGATCTCAGATCTTGTCTTTTTTTTCCCCCTTTTATGCTCCATGGAGGTTAATGGGCTAGTTGGTGCCATTGTTCATCATTTGACCCTCTGGAATTGTAACTAGGATAAGTAACATAATTCAGTGCTAACTGATACATGGCTTAGACCATGAGTGTGGGCATTAAGGAAGGACAGAACAGTGAGTTAGACCAGTTGGGTGAGTTGCTAAAGGAACTGGGGCTTGAACAGAAGCTTAGAGCATGTGGGAGTTTGAGAGAGGGTGTGTGAGAGGCTTTAGCAGGGGAGGGCAGCAAGCACAATGCCTAGATGAGGGAGTGGTTGAGAATGAGAAGGCCATTTAGGGACCCAGCTCCCCCAGAGGAGAGTGACAGCCTCTGCAAGACTGGACTTTGGGATCCGCCCACTCCTCGAGTGATTTGTGGCTACCCTCCCTGTTCCAGCCACTGGGCTCTGGCCTCCCTCTGCCTCTCTCTCCTGAGCCTATGTAATGCCATACCTTCTGAAGTCAGCTGGCTGTGTCCCTTGGAAGTCAGGCCTTTGGGAATGGTCTCTGGGGTTTCCAGCTCTAGGTGCCCACTCCCCTTCTGGAAACAGTGCATGCTGCCCTCAGGCCCCTTCTTCCCTGTCGTTCTCAGGGAAAGCCTTCCTGTGTGGTTTCATGTGCCAGAGGGGGTGCCAAAATCGAGGAGTTCGGGGCAAGGCGCTCCCTCTCCCCTGTTTCCCATCACGTTTCTGCACTTCTTTCCCTCTGCCAGCTTCCTGGACTGCCATCGAGCATTCTCTCTTGAAACTTGGAGAGATCCTGGCCAATCTCAGCAACCCCCAGCTCCGGAGCCAGGCTGAGCAGTGCGGCACCCTCATTAGGAGGTACCAGCTCCCTGGGGGATGGTGGTGGAGGGAGAGGGAGGACACGCCCTGGGGTGGGAAGATGTGGCACCTGGTGCCATCCTCTCCACCTTCACCTTTGGTCCCCCAAACACTGTCCCCTGTGTTTGTGATCCCTCAGCATCCCCATGATGCTGTCTGTGCATGCGGAGCAGATGAACAAAACCGGCTTCCCCACCGTCCACGCCGTGATCCTGCTCGAGGGCACCATGAACCTGACAGGCGAGACACAGTCCCTGGTGGAGCAGCTGACGATGGTGAAGCGCATGCAGGTGGGAGGGGCCAAGTGGCTCTCCCCTCCCCAAGGCGGGCCAGCCTGTTGGGGGCAGGAGGGAGGATTCTTGTAGTCCTCCCTGGGAGAAGTGGGGTTTCTCCTGCTCCATGATGGAAAGTGGGTGCTAGTTGTGCACACTTCTGTCATTGGACCTTACGCCCCTGGTTCTCAGCACACAGCTGGGCAGTGACTCTGCCATGCAGTCTCTGAGCCAGCCAAATCCTCGGAGTCCACAGAAGGATGATGGGGTATGGGCACCCTCTTAGGCCTCGTCCTTGGCTCTTCCCACAGCATATCCCCACCCCACTTTTTGTCCTGGAGATCTGGAAAGCTTGCTTCGTGGGGCTCATTGAGTCTCCCGAGGGTACGGAGGAGCTCAAGTGGACAGCTTTCACTTTCCTCAAGGTACTGGGGACGTGGGAGGGGCAGAGCCAGTCTAGGAATGGTTCTCAGGAAGAGCAGTGGCACCCTGGACCTTTGCCCTGTGTTCCTCCCTGTGGGCGCTGGGCCCAGCCTGCCAGGTATCCCAGCGCAAGTTTCCATTGATCATTTTCTCTGAAAGTGCCAGGGCTATATTTAGCCCATTTGGCAGACTCCGTTGTTTCTTACCACAGAGGTGCAGTTTAGCTTGGTCATCAGACAGATTGGTGTAGGGCAGTGAAAGGAGCCAGGGAATGGGGCCCCAGTCCTCCTTGAAGCTGGGGATCCACTTTTGCTTATGGCATTTTTTTCTGTTGAGCTAGCAGAGGTATAGGGTCCCAGTGTCCTGTGCCTGGGCCTGGGGGCATCAGGGGCTTGGGCACCTATTGGCTTTCTCATTCAGCACTAAGTGTGCTCTCACTCACAGGGTAGGAGTGTTCCTGTCTCTTTTCCTGGAGCAGGGGGTCGGGGGGATGCCTTCAGGGGTGGATGAAAGAGAAAAGAAATGGATCTTCCTGTTTTTCCCCCTGCCTCACCCCCTAGATTCCACAGGTTTTGGTGAAGTTGAAGAAGTACTCTCATGGGGACAAGGTGAGTTGAGTTGAGGATTGAGATGGAGGCATGGGAGCAGAAACAAGGGCAAAGGGAGGGTCCTTCAGGCCCCAGCTGGGCAGTGTTCTTATGCCTGGAAGAGAGCTGAATGTGTGTGTACACCTCAGTGTGTGCACACCTCAGTGTGTGCGTGCTTCACAATGTGTGTGCTTCAGTGTGTGCATGTGCTTCAGCATGTGCGTGCTTTGCCATGTGTGTGCTTCAGTGTGTGTGCTTCAGCATGTGTGTGCTTCAGTGTGTGTGCTTCAGTGTGTGTGCTTCAGCATGTGTGTGCTTCAGCGTGTGTGTGCTTCCGTGTGTGTGCTTCCATGTGTGTGCTTCAGCGTGTGTGTGCTTCAGCGTGTGTGTGCTTCAGCGTGTGCGTGCTTCAGTGTGTGTGCTTCAGTGTGTGTGTGCTTCAGCGTGTGTGTGCTTCCGTGTGTGTGTGCTTCCGTGTGTGTGCTTCACCGTGTGCGTGCTTCACCGTGTGTGTGCTTCAGCGTGTGTGTGCTTCAGTGTGTGTGTGCTTCAGTGTGTGTGCTTCAGTGTGTGTGTGCTTCAGTGTGTGTGTGCTTCAGTGTGTGTGTGCTTCAGTGTGTGTGTGCTTCGCCGTGTGTGTGCTTCAGTGTGTGTGTGCTTCCATGTGTGTGCTTCAGCGTGTGCGTGCTTCAGTGTGTGTGCTTCAGTGTGTGTGTGCTTCCGTGTGTGTGTGCTTCCGTGTGTGTGCTTCAGCGTGTGCGTGCTTCACCGTGTGTGCGCTTCAGCGTGTGTGCGCTTCAGCGTGTGTGTGCTTCAGTGTGTGTGTGTGCTTCAGCATGTGTGTGCTTCAGTGTGTGTGTGTGCTTCAGCGTGTGTGTGCTTCAGTGTGTGTGTGTGCTTCAGCGTGTGTGTGCTTCACCGTGTGTGTGCTTCAGCGTGTGTGTGCTTCAGTGTGTGTGTGCTTTGTGTGTGTGCTTCAGCATGTGTGTGCTTCAGTGTGTGTGTGTGCTTCAGCGTGTGTGTGCACCCACAGCATATACCCAGGCTCCAGGCAGAAGGCAGCCAGGCAGCTCAGGCTGATGTCTCCAGCAGACAAGGTTGCCTGAGATGATCAGGGCCTGGTGGCCCTGGAAACCAGGTGGACACTTCTGCCTCTTTCTAGGACTTCACTGAGGATGTCAACTGTGCTTTTGAGTTCCTGCTGAAACTCACACCCTTGTTGGACAAAGCTGACCAGCGCTGCAAGTATGAGCTCCCCTGGTCACCCCTACCCTACTGGAAGGGGTTCTGGGCTCTTCCCCTGCTCTCTGTGCCAGAGAAGCCTCAGGGGACTCTGTCTCCTTGTTCACTCCCCTTGGCAGGGGCAGGAAGCAGCAGCCCATAGTTGCCAAGTCCCCAGAGCCCCTCTACTGTCCCTCAGGCCCTCCAGATTTTCCTCACCTGAAAGAGGGAGGATGCTGCTCAGGGACTGGCCACTCCCACCCCTCGCCCTCCCAGCCAGGTGCCCAGTTCCCTCCACATCTTTCTCTTTCACAGCTGTGACTGTACAAACTTCCTGCTCCAAGAATGTGGCAAGCAGGGGCTTCTGTCTGAGGCCAGTGTCAACAGCCTTATGGCTAAGCGGTAAGTGTGAGCGCGCCTGGGCTACCCCAAGAGCCCCTTGACCTCTCTCTCTTTACGGTGGGGCTGCTGGGTACCTTTCAACCTCCTGTCTAAACTTTGAGCTGCAAGTGACTGGGACTGTGCCTGGGGGTACCAGCCGGGCGCGGTGACTCACGCCTGTCATCCCAGCACTTTGGGAGGCTGAGGCGGGTGGATCACCTGAGGTCGGGAGTTCAAGACCAGCCTGACCAACGTAGAGAAACCCCGTCTCTGCTAAAAATAAAAAATTAGCTGTGGTGGCACATGCCTGTAATCCCAGCTACTTGGGAGGCTGAGGCAGGAGAATCACTTGAACCCAGGAGACGGAGGTTGCGATGAGGCAAGATCACGCCATTGCACTCCAGCCTGGGCAACAAGAGCAAAACTCTGTCTCAAAAAAAAAAAAAAAAAAGCATGAGTGTCTTCAGACCAGAGTTTTACGTTCTTAGTCATTGCTCTTTAACTCATACCCATCTTTCTGATAAAAGTAAAAATCCTAGGCCGGAGGCAGATAGATTATTTGGAGGCCAGGAGTTCAAGACCAGCCTGCCCAACATGGCAAAACCCCATGTCTACTAAAAATATAAAAATCAGCCGGGCATAGTGGTGTGTGCCTGTAATCTCAG